CATAATTCTGGCTGCCGTAATAATGTATATAACTATATGTTCCTTTGACTTATCTATATTATCGGGTATCATACTTAGTAAAAACAATTCTGGGATTAGTGGCTCCTTACAGAGCAAAATTTGTTGTAACATAGCATGTACTCTTTTCCAGTATTTTTTCGCTACTCCACGTGACCACCACATATGACAAAAACTTCCCACTTGTGTTTCACATTTCCAACACTTATTTGATACATCAGTATACATCTTTGACAATTTTTCTGGGGTCATATGCCACCTATAAAACATCTTATATATATTCTCTTTAAAATTAACTGATCTTGTAAGCTTTATGTTATTTTGCCATATTTTCAGCTATTGATCAATATCAATGTTGTGCCCTATGTTTTGTGCCCACTTGATCATAGATTCTTTAACCGTTTCATCTTGCATTTTAATTTCCAACATATAATTACACATTTTCTTAACAATTTGTTCTTTTGAACCCAATAAAAGTTTATCAAAAATCGCTTGCTCTGAGTAGAAACCCTCTATTTTATCTTTTGTATATCTAGATTCTAGCTGTATTCTAGGCCACCAGTCTAAATATACATTCTGCGACTCTAGTTCCTCTTTAGACCTTAATTCACCATCCTTTTTAAATAGATCTTGATATCTTAAAAGATTTGCTTTTATCATAAGATTAGGTTGTGTAAAGGCCTCTATCGGTGACACCCATACAGGTATTTTGTAATAGACTTGTATAATCTTTCTCCACATTCCCAGTAAAGCTTTTCTTATCATATGTGAGTTAAAATTCTTTTGTTCTTTGTCCTTTTTATACCATAAATAAGCATGCCAACCTAATTGCAGATCGTGTCCTTCCAAGATAAGCTATCATTTTCTAGAGTTAGCCATTCTTTTATCCAATCTAGAATACAAGCTCTATAATACAGAACCCAGTCAGGAAGACCAAAGCCACCCCTCTGCTTAGCATCTTGCATTAATTTTTAATTCTTGGTTTTTTACCTTGCCATATGAATCTCATGATTATCTTATTAAATTCTTTAAAAAGGACTGTTTTAATATGATAGGGATTGACTGAAATAAAAATAAGATTTTTGGCAAGATGGTCATTTTAATCGCTGCAATTCTTCCCAGCAACGATAGTTGTAATTTATCCCATTTCTCCAAATTGTCCTACATCTCCTTCATTAATTTCATGTAGTTATCTTTGAATAGTGTGCTTACCTTCTTTGTAATTTGTATTTCTAAATATCAAATTTTCTTCTCCTCTTGGAAGTTTGTCTTCTCTATTAACTCTTGTTGTTCCTGTTCTCTCATATTTTTGGTAAGAAATTTAGTCTTCTTTTGATTTATTCTCATTCCTGCCATGTCACCAAAATTTTTTAACATTGTCATCAGGTCTTCTATTGAATCCAGTGGTTCTTCCAGTATGATAACTAAATCATCCGCAAAGGCCTGAAGTTTGTAGACTTGACCTTTCACTTTTAATCCTTTCAGTTCCTTTTTATTTCTAATTTGTTCATTTAGTATTTCCAGAGTCAAAATAAATAGGAGTGGGGAAAGTGGGCACCCCTGTCTAGTACCTTTCTGTATTTGGATTTTTTTTGATAATTCACCATTAATTCTTACTTTCCCCTTTTGCTCAGTATATATTGCTTTGATTAGTTTCATGAATCTTTCTCCAACCTGCCGTGTTTCCAACGTATGTATCATAAAATTCCAGTCAAGATTATCGAAAGCTTTGTCCGTATCCAGGAATATCATGGCCATCTGTTTCTTGGGGTGTGCTTCATAGTATTCCAGGGCATTTAAAACTATCCTTATACAGTGGTGCCTCGCTTAACGATTTTAATTGGTTCCAAAAAAAATATCGCTATGTGAAAACATTCTTAAGCGAAACACCATTTCCCATAGAGATGCATTGAAAACCGGATAATCCGTTCCAATTGGAACGGATTACCATTCTTAAGCGAAAATCCCCATAGGAAAAAACGTTAAGCGAAACCCATTGAAATGCATTGAAGCCTATTTCAATGGGGGGGAAAATTCACAAAAAATTCAAAAAGACTCAGAACAAAGCCAAATTAAGTTAACAAAGGTTTTATTAGGTGCACTAATGATTCCAAGCATTTTAAACATTTTTAAACATATTAGAATATTTTAAAAATAGCAAAAACGGGGCTGTAAAAAAAATGTTAAGCGAAACAAGGGGACCTAAAACTGTCATCGTTAAGCAAAGCATGGTCCCGAAATCATTAAGCGAAAATCGCCCATAGGGAAAATCGTTAAGTGAAGCACAAGATTGCTCCGAAAAAGCCATCGTTAAGTGAATTTTTCGTTTCATGGTAATGAAGTGGCCAATGATTTGGAAGAGGGCTAATGTTGTCCCTGTCTTCAAAGATGGCAAAAAGGAGGAACTGGGAACTACAGACCAGTCAGCCTGACATAAATCCCAGGGAAAATTCTGGAACAGGTTATGAAGCAGTCATTCTGCAAACACCTCTAAAACAATGCAGTAATCCTAGAAGCCAACATGGATTTGTCAAGAACAAACCCTCACAGACCAAACTTATCTCATTTTTTTTTTTGATCAGGTAACCTCCCTAGTAGACTGGAAGATTGTAGACACAGTATATCTTGACTTCAGCAAAGATACAGAATCTAGATTTGTGTGCATAGTGCTATTTATGCTCCATAATATTCTGATTAACAAGCTAACTAGGTGTGGGCTCCATAGAACACCTGTCAGATGAATACATAGTTGGTTACAGAATTGTACTTGGATAGTCCTAATAAATGGTTTCATCTCAAACTGAGAGGAGATAATGAATGAGGTACCACAAGGCTCAATCGTGAGATTTGTGCTGTTCAATAATTTTATTATTGTTTAGGGAATGCTTGTCAAATTTATGAATGACACAAAACTGAGTGGAATAGCTAATGCTTTGGAAGTCAGAAACAAAATTCAAAAAGATCATGCCAGGCTCAAGCACTGGACTGAAAACAACAGAATGAAATTTAACAGGGATACTGTAAGTGCAATGTTCTAGACCTAGGAGAAAAAGTAAATGCACACTTACAAGTACCTTGAATTATTGTAGACTCCGAGCTGAGTGGGAGCCACCAGTGCAATGTGGCTGCAATGAAGGTCAGTGATACTTTAAGCTGCATTAATAGTAGCATAGTCTTCAAATCCAGTTAATTGCAAGTTCCCTCTTATTTGGTACTGGTTAGGCCTCATCTTGAGTACTATGGCTAGTTTTTGAAACAAATTGGAACAAGTTCAGAGGAGGGCAACAAGGATGATAAGGGGACTGGAAACCAAGCCCTAAGAGGAACGATGCAAAGAACTGGATGTGCTTAGCCTTGAAGAAAGAAGACTGAGGGGAGATATGACAGTACATGAAAGTCTGTCATACAGAGGAGGGCCAAGATTTGTTCTCCATGGTCCCAAAGTGCACAACATGTAAAAATGGACTTAATTTACAGGAAGCCAGATTTCAGTTGAATATCAGGAAAAACATTCCAACTGTTAGAGCACTATGACAGTGGAATAAATTACTTCAGGATGTGATGAGTGCTCTAGTGCTGGAGGCATTCAAGAAAAAATTAGACAGCCACCTGTCAGATATACAGTGGTGCCTCACTTAACGAGTGCTTCGTTTAACGATGAATCGGCATAGCGATGAAGACTTTGCGATTGCAAAAGCGATCGCATTGCAATGTTTTAAATGGTAAAAAATCGCTTTGCAATGATCAGTACGCTGTTTCGCTTACTGATTATTGCATAGCGATGATTTCCGAACAGCTGATTGGCGGTTCCAAAATGGCTGCTGAATATAAAAAAATGGCCACCCACTGTGTTTTCGCTCCGATTCCTCGCTTACCGGACACGAAAATGGCTGCCGTATGGAGGATTTTCGCTTAAAGGTGAGTTTTTGCTCATAGGAATGCATTAAATGGGTTTTAATGCATTCCTATGGGCTTTTTATTTTCGCATAGTGACAAAATCGCTTTGCAGCGATTTTTGCTGCACGGATTATTGTCGCTATGTGGGGCACCACTGTACTTTGATTTGGATTCCTTGATGACTATAGGCCCTTTCCAGTTCTGCTATCCTATGATTCTATGATTATCTGTTGGAAAATATAATTAATTATCCAAGCAAAGTACAGTCAAAATAGAATTCATTGTCATCCAATATGTTCTTAGCCTTTTGTTTGAGGGCTTAGAAAAATAAAGTAGCCAATGATAGAGCATGCATGTTGGAAAGCACTATACCTCATCTTGGAAGTAACTAATTGTACTGTAACTTATATTGTTAGAATCGTTAACGATGAATCCGCATAGCAATGAAGACTTTGCGATTGCAAAAGCGATCGCATTGCAATGTTTTAAATGGTAAAAAATCGCTTTGCAATGATCAGTACGCTGTTTCGCTTACTGATTATTGCATAGCGATGATTTCCGAACAGCTGATCGGCGGTTCCAAAATGGCTGCTGAATATAAAAAAATGGCCCCCCACTGTGTTTTCGTTCCGATTCCTCGCTTACCGGACACGAAAATGGCTGCCGTATGGAGGATTTTCGCTTAAAGGTGTTTCCGGGATAGTGGAGGTGTAAAAATCTTATATAAGTAATATAGCTACTACCACAGAGTAACTTTCTGGTGTAAAAAACAATGTTTTCCAGCTTGTTTCAAAAGTTACATTTACAGACAATTTTTGAATTTTTTTAAAAAAACAAAAAGCATTCCAAGCCCCACGCTGACATTTCAGTAATGTGGTGATTAGTGCACAGTATTGATTGCAATTGCTGGATATTGTTAGTAAATTTCCTAGAGCATCTCTAATGCCACATTTGGAGAGCCACAGTTCTGCACACATCATCTATATTAACAAAAATAAAACTTCCTTGTCCAACGGACTTAAGATGAAGGAGGATTAAGTTGTCAAAGAGATTTAATGCATCTGGGAATAAGAAAAAATACCTACCCCTACAATATCTGTCTGCAACCACCCCGGGTGCAATGGTACACACAGGATCTCATCTTTGGCATATTCAAGGGACTGGAACTTTGTGAGCATGTTCAGAGCAGCCTAAGAGGGGGACAAGGCAGAAACAGGGTGGTGAATGATACAATTATACGTCTCAAGTCCAAAGCATTGGCAATGGTTCAAAAAGAAGTGGTACTTTATTTCTTTATACTTTATTTATTATTTGAGATACTTTATTTCTTTCAAATATTCTGACTACCTTATTTTGGCCACCAAATAATTGTGATAATCCTGTAGCAATGTACGCTGCTACTATTTTAGAGAAAGAGAACAAAAGAAGGTTATGGACCAACAATTAAAAGAAAAATATTCAAATGTTTCCTATGGATTAGTTTGAGCAATGTCTCTTATGATCCTATCCAATTTAGTGAATTTAGATTCTCTATTTCTGTGGGTAGAGCTATCTAGGTTCTAGCTATCTAGAACCAAGTGCTGAAATCCTGTGGCTTAGTGCAGTAGATCACAACCAGAGTAGGCCCACTGAATCATTTATTTATTTTTTTATTTATTTGAATTACACTCCACCCATTTGGTCTAAAAGACCACGCTTTTATCAATGGAATTTACAGAGAAGTTGACTCACCATTCCTCCACTAATTACCTCTCCTGTTTCCAAGCTACTATGCTATGCAACAGGATTTCAAACAATGCTTCTCAAATTCTGAAGAAAGATAGATAATAATAGGAGATATATGTCAGTGGGAGTTAAGACAGCTGAAGAAGCACAGATGCTGGGCAGAGATTATTCAGAATTATTCTGTCTGAACCACCAACTGAAGAAAGAGCTGGGGCAACTTTAATTCAGACTTCTGATTTTAATAATGTAATAAACCCACCTCTTTGCATATCCATACCTTGCTGCAACGGTAGGAGATGACTTGTCCACTTTGCCACATAAACATGCTAGTAATGGAACCAGCAATAGAGGTCACATTGACAATGGCTGCTTTGCTACAGCTCATCCCTTTCTGGGGGCTCTTCTCTGCTGCTTTCTTCAGAAGGGGCACAAATGCCTGGAAGAGGAGTGGAAAAACTCAAGAACAGCCAAACATTCTGTGGAAATAACTGGGCATCTCATTATCAGTGTATAGTTCATAGTAGGACAAACTGTAGTCCAACAGTTATGCTCCAGGGACAATATAGGCTAGCTGTGAAATGAAATCACAGCAAATGGGATTAAGGTTTAAGAAGTATTCAGGTTTGGGGCTTGCCTTTGTCCTCTGTGTATGTACGTGTAAAGTCAAATACAATAAAGAGAGTGAAACTGGGATGTTCACTAACTTTAATCAAATATAGTGGTGCCTTGACTTACAAACGTAATTGGTTCTGAAAGATGGGTGTAAGTCGAAATGGTCGTAAATCGAAGCATCATTTCCCATTGAAATGCATTGAAATGCAATTAATCCATTCCTGTTGAAGGAAAAAATCACCAAAAAAAATCACTGCAAGACTCATTGGAAATGCAATTAATTCCTTCTGGCCAAAGAGGAACAAAAAAAGAGAAAAGCTATCAAGTGTGCAAGACCCTTTGGAAATTCACAGAAAACCACAGAAAACCAAAGAGAACAAAGGGACCAGGTTGGAAATGCACAGAAAAAGCAAAGGGAGCAGTTCAGAAATGCAGAGAAAATAAAGGGACCAGGTTGGAAATGAACAGAAAACAAAGGGACCAGGTCAGAAATGCATAGAAAACAAAGGGAGCAGTTCAGAAATGCACAGAAAACAAAGGGACCAGGTTGGAAATGCAAAGAGAAGAAAGGAAAACGCAAGGGAAGCATGCAAGACCCATCAGAAATGGGGGGGGAACCCCCAAAGCAACCAAAGCTCCCAAGACCCATCAGAAATGGGGAAAAAACCTAACAAACAAACAAACCCCCCAAGACCCATCACAGCACAGAAACATAACCCCCCCAGCCCAAAACCACACTGCAAAAACACCCAGAACAGTTTCTAAAAAGCAGAAAACAGCACCTTACCTTACCAGGCAGCCTTCTCTGATCACACACTCTCTAATTGCTGGAGTGAAAGAGCTACAAAGAAGCAGCCTCATCACCACCTACAGGTAGATATTTGAATTTCCCGCCTTTTTCCCTGCCTTTTTCTGTTCGTAACTGGAAGCTCCAGCTGCAAGTTGAAGCAAAATTTTGCGGCCGGAGTTGATCGTAACTCAAAATGGTCTTAAGTAGGGACGTTTGTAAGTTGAGGCACTGCTGTATTCAGTCTGTATCTCTGAAGGAACTGACAGGTTGCTTCATCCCTGTAGTTTGTGTGGCCTGCCTTCACTTTCCCTTGCATTCTTTACTGCAAATAAAGTAATAGAGTCTCACTCACATGGGATTCTCATAAATTTGTAGGAGATTTTGAATCATCACTAAAAACAGATGACAAAAAAGAACAGCCATCTCATGTGAACATTATCAAAAGCCCAGTGTGTGACAATGTCATACTTTATTGAAATGCAGTGTGGCTGCTTTACATAGTTTGCTTCTCCCATTGTTTTATTCTGAACATGGCCTTTCAAGTTAGGCTGTCGGAGAAGCACGAACTGACCCAAAGATACTAAGTGATCTTGGTGACTAAAGGACATGAACTTACTGCTGTACTGCAGTCATGCCTCTGCTCATGACCTATGTTCCATCCTGAAAGATTCAAGTAGCTGGCTCAAAGCCTTCAATCTTTCTGAAGTTGGCAAAAATTTATTTATTTATTTATTTATTTGATTTCTATCCCACCCTTTTAGACAAAGTCTACTCCGATGGGTTCCATTAAACATTGTAAGCTAAAACAGTTAAAAACAATTGAAAACAATAGTGATTAGTAATGCTAAGTAATGCTGAAGATGGGAAAACAGAAAATTATAATAAAAATAAAATCAAGTATTGACAGGAGGGAAGGCCTGCCTAAAAAGCCAAGTTTTTAATTGGCTCTTAAAAACACCCAGCGAGGGAGCAAAATGTTCTTTCAGAATTATGTTCTAAATCTCCCAGAGTGCGCTTCAGCACCATGAGGTAATTTATAAATCAAAGCAACAACAACAGCATGAGAATGACTTGGCCATGTTCACATGGCCTGTAATATCTGCAACACAATAGGATGTTTTTAAGGATAAAGGTACTCTAGACATTCTTTACCTGGCTCACCAGCATGGGCCCAATCACATTGGCTTTGTACACCTCCAGCATGTCCTCTGGTGCAGCTAGTTCCAGGGTGCTGTTTATATTTAATATCCCAGCATTATTTATCAGTAGATTTAGGCCAGCTCCTTTCAGCAGCCCAGTGATTTTGGCTGCAGCCTCTGTGATGCTGGATGGTTTGCAGACATCTACATTAAGAAAGATGATCATGGAGAAAAATTCCTTACAGGCCCCAGTCCAGAACCTAAATTTATCATGGACTATTTAATTTTATTTATGAAATATATTTCCAAGTTTCTAATAAGATCAAAGCATTATTTCCCCTGCATGACCCCATTTTACATTCACAACAAGGATGGGTGACACCTCATTCCAAAATTTTAGTTGACCACTAACTGCCACTGCACTGAAAAGTGTGCCTTTTCACAGTTATTTGACATGGTTTCATGGTCTGTAGGCAGGCTCTCTCTTCCTTCTCAGGAGATGAAAGAATATAGATTAATTTATTAATTTTGAAGATACACAGATAGAATGTGTAGCAGTGGTACATACTATATATGCAACTTTGCCTAAAAGGGTTCTACAGTCCTAAAGTCCTATCTCTAACGTAGTGATAGCATGTCAGTATTGCAAATTAGCTTCATTTGTTTTGTAATGGGTCACTGAGAGGTAAGCACAGGCTTTGTTTGCAAGAATGATGACTCAGTTACAAAGGTCTGTTGGAATCATATTTCTGAGACATTGATTGATTTCAGCTTCTAATGACATGATAAGTACACTTGGCCCTTAGAGATTATGTTTGCACAGTTATGGGTGTTGTCTAACCCCACCTTCTTTAACCTGTGAAGGGCTGTACTGCCATTGACTGCCATTTCATGTATGGAGGAAAACACCTATGGCAAAAGGAAAGGAAGGAATAGTCTCTACCAGGACAAGCCAGACACTTTTTCAAAAACAACGGGCAAAAGAGAACAAGACGATTTTTATCCTACAGTCAGCAGATCCAAACACAGAGAAATGGAATTCAAAGCAAGCAAGAAAAATAGTAGGGATAGTAGAGTCCCTACTTCAGTCCCAAATTAGAAACATTTTAATTCCTTCTTTTTTTCTCAGTAGAACATCCTTGGAGAGCAGACAAGTAAATTGAGGGAAAGAGAAGTTCAGAAGAGATGGAAAAATTATTCTTTCCCTTTCCCTACTGTAACACAGTAAAGCATATCTCAATACTTCCCCATGTGGGGAAAGTCCATTGCAATTCTAGCCACAAGCTCATATTGGAGCATAAGTAATTTGGTGGTGCCCAAAGTCCTCTATTTGGAAGCACTCAAAGCACATCCAGATGAGGTGACCCTTGAAACTCCAGTTAAGAAGGGATCATGCAGCTATTCTTCTCTTTTTTTCCTTACTGGATTTTCCAATGGAAGAAGAAAGGTATCAGAAAAGCATGGGAGTGCTATCAGTGAAGGCCGTTATCTGATTCCTGTCAAGATTCACTAAGCAAGAGATGGTGATTGATTGCATGATGAAAATATTGTCTAGAACTGCTCCAAACAACACTTTTTAAGATCCTAAATAATAAAGATTCTCTGGTCAGATAAGATGATATTCCAGCCTTGGAAAGAAACCTGGGGACTGAATGCAAACAAATGGGGAGCATACACACATTTATGGCAGCCCTCTTGCCCCAAAAGTGATCTCTTGTTGAATGGCCAGACATTGCGTTTCCTGCTCCCATCCATGCAAGAAGAGAGAATGGATATGGACAAGAACATACCCAGCGGGATGACTTCTAGTCCCTGGTGTTTCTCAGCCAGATTCTTCAACTCCTGGAAAATAACAAAACACAGAATTTTAAGATGCAACATCAAGGTCTTATGACTAAATGACTGAAAGTGGGAAAGCCAGAGAAGACAGAAGGAGATCAAATTGCACATAGTTTATTTTATTGCTTTGCAATATAGATCTTAATTTGTAAGCACTCTGCACATGTATTCAGAGAATGGAAACAGCAAACAGTCATCTCAAACACTTATTCCCCCACTTTCACTCTTGGCACAATCTCTTGGCACTGTGAATAACTGGCACCTGTGCCAAGACCAAGTTGACCCTATCCTGGAGAGCTCACCTGAGCCTGTGGATCCTCTGGGTTCCGACAAGTGGCAAATATTGTCTCTGGATGGTTAGGTTTCCTGATCAGCTGCTTGACCATTTCCAAGCCAATGCCTCGACTAGAGCCAGTCACCAAAATGTTACGTGGAACCAGTGTTGCCATCACTCTTTTCAGTCTGTGTCTAACCTGCTATCAAAGTGGAAACAGGAACTTAAACTGAATTTCCTGGTTGCCCTCACCATCAAACAGTGCTGTGCGCTCAAAAAAGATTGGCTGTAAGCTCCTGCCTGTCAAAGTTAGTGAGAGGGACAACCCACGGCAAGGATGTCCTTCCCCTCCATAGGAAAACCTCTGATTTCAAAGCTCAGAAGAAGATAGCTCCCAGCACCTCCACCCATGTTTGTGTTAACAGCCAATTTCTTGTAACAAGAGGAGTTTGGCATCCATCCAGGGGACAGTGTAAAACCTGATATTGAACAAGCTACAGCAGTCCACTTAGGTTTTATTTTAATTATTCCAAACAATGTGATTCCTAAAAAACAACTGATGCCAATATTTCAGGACTACAAGCTCTCCAATGTTATACTTATAATAACCTTTGCATTCAAAATGTAAATGGTCTGTAGACTTAAAAACTCAAATCCAATACCAGTGTCATCTTTGATCCCTGTCCAAGAGGTGCACACTTCATCTTCGCTGTTGATATACCCCTTGCCAAGAAACCAGTTCATTGCTTCACCTTTAGCCAGTCAGAACAACAACAGGATCAACTAACAAATACTGTTCCTTTGATTTCCAAATTCTGGCTGAAAACCCAAAAGGGAGATCTCCTGGGATGTTTGTGTTCCTTTAGCCCTCTCCCTTTCCCTGTAGGACTGGAGTTTGCAGCTCATAAAATAACTTTTGGAAGCCATGAGGACTTTGAGAACTCAACTGGGCATGTGGACCCATTGGTTTCAAGTACATCTACTGTTTCTTAAATAGTGTGTAGACCTCAAAATTCAAATCCTATACCAGTATCACCTTTGATCCCTTTGCAAGAGGTGCAGACAGTTCATCTTGACCAGTGGTTCCCAACCATGGATAACCTCAGTGTTCTTGGGCTGCAGCTCCCAGAAACCTTCATCACTAGCTCTGCTGGCTGGGGTCTCTGGGAACTGAAGTCCAGGAACACTTGGGTACCCAGGGTTGGGAGCCATTGTTTGAGGCTGTTGATACACACCTCTCCAATAAACCAGTTCCGTGCTTCACCTTTAACCAGTCAAAACAACAAAAGGCTCAACTGATGAAGACTGTACCTTTGGTCCAAATTCTGGCTGAAAATCCAAGATAGAGATGTCCTGGGTTGTTATGCTCCTTTGGCCCTCCCCCTTTTCCCATTAGATTGAAGCTTGCAGCCCAAAAAGTAACTTTTGGAAGCCATGAGTAATGTGACTCTACCCTGGAGAACTCACCTGGGCATGTGGACTAGAGATGGGCATGAACCGCCAAAATTAGAGTTTGTCTTGGTTTGTTTGTGGACTTCCACACCGCAAAGTAACATTTTTTTCCTGAACAAATCACAAATTGAATCGTTGGTTTGTCTGATAATATTTTTGAGACAGTCTAAAAAAACTACCAAACAACCCATCTTGCCCCCTTCCCACTGCCCCCATTGTCTCACTATCTTTTCCTGCAATTGCCTCCTCTTCCTCAGCTGCATCTCCTGACCAGCTCAGACACCAGCTAACTTTTTTTTTAAAAATACCTTTTTTAAAAAGTTAGCCAGCCTGTCAGCCAGCCCAAGGCTTTCTCTGCTTCTCAGCTGGTACGCAGGGACATGCACAGCTGACCCTGGGCTGGCTGACAGGCAACTAACTAAATAATAAAAATAATAATGTATCTTTTTTAGTTAGCTGGTGCCTGAGCCAACTGGGGGCCATCTGCGCATGTCCCCACCTCTCAGCTGAGAGCCAGAAAGCTAAACTCAGATCCAACTAATTTTTTTTCATCTCATCTGGTAGACTGGAAAGCTGTAGACATATCTTGACTTCAGCAAAGATATAGGTTCTAGATTTGGGTGTGTAGTGCTATCTTTGCCCCATAATATTCTGATTAGCAAGCTAAATAGATGTGGGCTGGATAGAATAACTATCAATACACAGTTGGTTACAGATAGTCCTTATAAATCCCTTCTTGTCAAACTGGGAGGAGGTAAGAAACCATGTAGCACATGTGTTACGTTCCCGGGGGTTACAACAGCAGAGTCTGATAAGCCAGTCCTATGTCAGAGGTTCAGAGAATGCAGAGCCAATATCCAAAGCCAAGGGTCCAGGGAACAAGGTTCAAGGTAGTCAGGAGCGTGGATGTAAGCCAGAGGTTTGACTTGTTGCTTCCACGAACTTCCAGCTGTCTGAGAGCTGCTTATATAGTAAAAACAGTCATTGAACTGCTGGAAGCCTTTTCATCCTGTCAGAACTCAGGGCTAGTTGACCTGATGTTTCTGTGGGCAGCCTTCAGGCAATCCTCTGACCCTTGCATCATAAGTGTCTGCCAAAGCCTGGCCCTCACCCTGTCTGCTGAGGGAGAAGAATCTGGGGGCGATTCAGCTGTTTGTGTTTCTATTCACTCAGCATTCTCCTCAGTTACAGTTGACCCCTCAGGTTCTGGATCTTCGGCTGAACTCATGACACTATCCCCCTCAGAAGGGCTCCCCCCTTCAGATGGGCCGGGTCGATCAGGATAGGTGGCATGGAACTGCTGTACAAGGTTGGGGGTGTGTAAGTTACTGGCGGGTTCCCATGATCGATCCTCAGGGCTGTAACCTTCCCAATCTACAAAGTACTGAAGACCTCCCCAGTGGATTCAGGAGTCCAGGATCTGATGGACCTCATATTTTTCCTCGCCATTGACCAAAATGGGCGGAGGTGGAGCCAGGGGTTGAGGTTGGGCAGGGTCCGGTGTTGCAACAGGTACAAGGAGAGACCGATGGAAAACTGGGTGAATACGGAAAGTGGCTGGGAGTTGTAACCGAAAAGCAATGGGGTTGGTTTGGTCTGTGATTAAATAAGGTCCGATAAACCAAAGGTCCAACTTATGGGACCGGCCAGGTCGGCAGAGATAATGGGTGGAAAGCCAGACCTGGCCCCCTGGTTTCAGAGGTGGCCCTTCTTGCCGTTTTCTGTCAGCCACTGTCTTATAGATATCCTTAGCTTGCTGAAGCTGCTCTTGGAGTAGGTCTTGGAGAGCCTGCAACCTGTGTACGTGAGCATCAGCAGCAGGGACTATGGTTGATGGCAGGACAGCTGGGAAAAAGCGAGGGTGGTACCCAGAGTTGGCTGCAAATGGGGTCTGTTTTGTGGATGAGTGTATGGTGTTATTGTAGGCCAATTCAGCCAGGGGTAGCAGTGTAGCCCAATCATCTTGCTGATAGCAGGTATAGCAACGGAGATATTGCTCAAGAGTGGTGTTAGTACGTTCAGTCTGTCCATCTGTTTGGGGATGACATGCCAACAACAAGTGCACTTGGGTACCCAAACTGGTGTGTAAGACTTGCCAGAACCAGGAGGTGAATTGGGAACCACGATCGGAAATTAAGTGTGTTGGGAGCCCGTGTAGATGGAAAACATGGTGAAGGTAGAGCTGGGCTGTTTCAGGAGCTGTGGGAGGCTTGGAACATGGATCAAAATGAGCCATCTTGGTGAACAGGTCCACTATTACTAGAACACAGGTATACCCTTGTGATCGTGAGAGATCCATGATGAAGTCTAGGGATACTGTGTCCCATGGGCCGGCTGGTATGGGTAATGGTTGTAGCAGCCCTGGAGGTTTGGTTGGTATGTCCTTGCCTCGATGACAAACCTCTCAGGAATCAATGTAATGGGCGACATCAGCTCAAACCCGGGGCTGCCAGAATTACTGTGTGAGTTAGGGCAGAGTTTTGTACTGACCAAAGTGTCCTGCAGGAGGGAAATCATGGGTCAGATAGAGCATGTTGGTTTGAAGGGGCCCTGGAGGAACGTACAGGCATCCACGGTGTAATAGGAGACCTTGGTGGTTAGTAAAGTCTCCGGGAGGGCCCTTTTGGAGTTCCTGCATTGCTTGGCCCAGGGATCTTGAGCTTGGCTGGCTTGAATTTCTTCAGCCAGGGACAAGCAAGTTGTAGTGGCTGCAAAAACTGCAGGGGATAGGATAGGTGAAATTGGAGACTCTTCAGAAGTTGGAACAGCGTATTCCGGTTTGCAGGACAAGGCATTGGCTTTCCGATTCTGAGTATGCGGGATGTAGGTAATGCTGAAGTCAAATTGGGAGAAGAAGATACACCACTGGATCTGCCATTGATTAAGGCGTTGAGCTGTCTGCAAGTGTTCCAGATTCCGGTGGTCCATCAAAACCTGGACAGGGTGACGGGCCCCTTTGAAGTAATGCCTCCAGAACTCGAAAGCAGTTTTGACTGCCAAGAGTTCCCACTCCCAGATGGTGTAGTTGCATTCTGGGGGTATGAACTGCTGGGAGTAGAAAGCGCAGGGCTGAAGTGGCTGTGACAGGTCCTTCTGCTGGGACAGTATTGCACCCAGGGCAACACTGGAGGCATCCGTCTCCACAGTAAACAGTAGTCGGGGATCCAGATAGCGCAGAATCGGCTTGGTGGTAAAGCGGGTTTTTAGTGTCGTGAAGGTATGGTCTGCCTCCGGAGTCCAAAGAAACAGCTCTTTGGGCCAGAGGAGGCGGGTCAGTGGTGTGCTTATGTTTGCGTAGGCTGGTATGAACTGGCGGTAATAATTTGTGAAGCCAAGAAACTGCTGTACATCCTTATGGTTCTGGGGTTTCTGTCAGGTCAGAACCAACTCTATTTTGTTTGTGTCTGGATCCCTTGGGGAAATACAGTGTGACCTAGGAACTCGACTTCTTGGAAGTTTAATTCACACTTCTCCAGCTTGGCGTAGTGTCAGTGGTCTTGTAATCGTTGTTAGACCTGACGAACGTGTTCCATGTGACGAGCGGGGTCTTGGGAGTAAATCAAAATGTCATCCAGGTCGATGATCACAAAGTGATCAAGCAAGTCCCGAAAGATGATGTTCATGAACCGCTGGAACACAGCCGGAGCATTGGTTAAATCGAAAGGCATGACCAGGTATTCATGCTGGCCATAATGAGTTCTGAAAGCTGTCTTCCACTTGTCGCCAGCACAGATTCACACCAAATTATAGGCG